GGTGGGTGGGTCAGCCAAAGTATCAGGTGTAATTCTGGCCAAAATTATTAAATTCCGGCCAAAATTAAGAATTTTTTTTGAACCAAATTATAAATTTATTATTGTTATAAATAAAGAAGAAAGCATATAGTTGTGAAGACTAAAATGCTTATATCTTTTCTCTTAAACGTTACAACTATAAAGTAAACGTATGCCTATATGATGTATCTTAATGTGTAGAACAAGTTTACTTAGAGCATAAAAGTAGAATTAGATAGTAAAATTTGTGTATTGTAATATTTTACAGAATTTTATTAATAAAATTATGGAAAATATTACAATCCACAAAATTTTACTATCTAATTTTACCTTAATACTCTAAGTAAACTTGTTTTACATATAAAGATACATTATTTAAATATATGTTTACTTTATTGTTGTAACGTTTAAGAGAAAAGATGCTTAATTTTGAAATTTTGATCAAAATTTTAAAGTTAAGTATCTTTTCTCTTAAATCTAAAATTATAAAGTAAATGTATACCAATATGGTGTATTTTTGTGCGTAGAACATGTTTACTTAGAGCATAAAGGTAGATTTAATTAATACAATTTTGTGGATTTTAATATTTTTCATAATTTTATTAATAAAATTATAAAAAATATTGTGATTTTTAAACCTTTACTTAGTAAATTTCCTTTTGTTTTCTAAGTAAAACTGTAGAATAGAGTTTTGTAATCAAAATGGTGGTTAAAACATTAAAATTGTCCTATTAGATCGTGAGATATAAGCATTTTAGTCTTCACAACTATATGCTTTCTTCTTTATTTATATAAAGAAGAAAATATATAATTGCAAAAACAAAAATACTTATATTTCATGATCTACTGGGCTGGTTTTAAAATTTTAACTGCCATTTTGATCACAAGATACTCCTCTACAATCTTTATTAGAAGTTGAAAAAGGTTTACTTAATAAAGAAAATTTTAATTAATAAACTCCAAATTTGAAAATTTTATTATGTTTTGTTACCAAAAATTTTAAATAAATATGAAATTTGATTGGCTAATAGGGGTGTCAGGTGTGGGTGGATGGGGGTAGCCTATTAGTAAAGATAAATCAGCTGATTTCTGGAAGCTTCCTAAGCATTAACCCAAAAGATCTTAGAGATAAAATAGTTTAACTTGTAAAATTATATGAAATTTGGGGTCTTAAAAAAGGCCCAATTCTGTAAATCTGCTGATATGATAAACAAACTATTGTGCCAATTTGGATGATTTAACCACCATTAGATGCATTTCAAAGAGCTCTACAACTTTCACTTAATTGACAAGAACAATTAATTTAGTACGAAAAAAAGTTCTACTTGAAGAATTGTTAGAAAATCTCTGTATTTCCTTCTTATGTGATTTACATAGTGATTTGCATCATGTTACACTATAATTATTGCACCAGGTGACTGGCGGATCATCAATTAAATAATTTCATTAATTTTACTGATGAGTGTTTAATTATAACATTTATTATCAAAAAAATTTTTTTTTCTTTTTGAGCTATGACTTGACCGAGTCTAATTATTACTATTATACATGCCTTTTACAGTAATTTGAACATAAATATTGTGCATGAAATTAAAATGGGTATGGACTTAACTGAGCTGGTCAATTTGAAATTTGAGCTCAAGATGCACAAGCTTTAGTGGATTTTTATTGAACATGCAATTAAGACAACGCTTTTCCACCTTATATTATTGCATTAGAATTTTAAGGGCATTAAATTTGAAATTTAAGATTCATGGTTTTTTGTATAAAAATATATGAGTGCTGTCAAGGAAAACCTGTAAATTATATATTGTACCGGATGCAAACCTTAATAAATTAAAATATAATTGAAATCCCAATGAAAGGTTTTCCCTTGACGGCATGAATACTTTCAATAATTGTTTAACATGGTATACACATTCATTATACACATTCAATCAGATGATAAATAATAAACCATCTCAGAATCGAATTTCATTTAGCGCAACTGACGCATGACATCTATATCTGGGTACCGGTTCTACCAATTCGATTCCGGGTCTTGATAGCACGATTCCAGGTTTAGGACAAGACTCGAACTGAAAAATCGAGCCGAGTCCGGGTTTGCATAAAACCCGGACTGAACCGGACTGTGCGGAACACTACTAACGTATATGTTTACTTACCCGTTCCATTTATGTGTCATCAGCTCCATATCAATTTTGCAATTAGCTTAGGCCGAACACTTAATCAGGTGATGTGATTATCACGAATATATCACTGGGTACTTGTTCTTCAATCTTCCCATTTCTTATATTTTGAAATTTTGCGCAGAACTGTTATTTAATTTCTGTAGCTATAGTTGGTGAGTCTGAAGATTTGCGCAGATTTTCATTTAATTTATTATTTAATTTTTTTGTAAATCTGCGCAGAACAGCACTAAAAATTTTTTCCCGAAGTTTGTTATTTGATGATGACGCATTTTATATTTGCTAGTTTTAAGTTTTGTCATTATCATCATTGGGAAAAGGTTTCGCCTAACAAATATAGTATAGAACCCCTAAATTAATTGCAAAATTATAAATTACATTCGGAATTACAGTATATCAAAAACGTAACTTTATGCAAATTCTCCCGCATCTCTAGTTGGAACCGGTTTAATAATGAATTTATTAAAATTTAATTGGATAAAATTTCTAAAATATCACAAAATTCACGTGATAAACCCGAGTTATTAAAACCGGATCCAACCTCTAGTTGGAGTACTCCAAGCTATAATAAAACATATAAACCACTCCAGTTTAAAACTAGAGTGGTTTATATGTTTTATTATAGCTTGGAGTACTCCATTTAACAACACTAATTATAGCTTAATTTTATGTGATATTCTGAGTTTTTATTGGATATATTTTGCTCGGAAATCACGGGACCGAGGATCGTTTTGCCACCACTGATCCATCTTAGAAATTCGTCTCTACCTTCATGTATTGAAATAATAATGGGTAATGATCAAAGCAAAACATCTGAAACACGGTTTCAGAAATATTTTCAAAGTTCACAGAAGAGGAAAAAGCTACACTCTTAAAAGTTTTTAATGAGTTCGCTTCGAACATATCCAAAGTAACAGCAACATGTATAAAGTAGAAATTGAAAGACATTATTATATTTTATTCATATTCAATTTTTAAATTACTTGTAATACTCTATAAATTTGTTAGAAATATCTTCCAACGATCGAAGAATCGTTAAAAGTGGATTTATTACATTTTTTCAATCAGCGTTCAACTAAAATTTTGAAAAAATCATCATTTCAAATATCGCCTTCTATGTGATAACTAAACTTAGCTTTGTATATTCGATTCATAATTTGGTTGAAGCTTTGCCAATTGATAGATCCCAAACTGTATATATTACAGGGCAGTTATTACATTGCTACAACTTATTCAATATCAATACATAGCTTTTTAGAAGCGATTTCGTATGTATTCGTAGATTGTCGGTCAATATAACTAATAAACTTGCTAGTATAAATTGAATTATCATCTAAACTATTAAAGTTATTATTATTTTCAATCACCATTTCTTCATCTGATTTTAAAAATTCAGATAAAATTTCTGCATTATTTTTCCAATTTAAAATAGTTTGGTGAATTTCTAGAGCTGATGGTCGTTTTTCGGGATTTTCATCCCAACATTTTTTTAAAAGATTTGTATAGCATGATGTTGTGCCTTTAATAATTGTTGGTCTCATACCGTTACAGATTTCAAATGTTAATTTTAATTTATCTTTACATTCAGAAAATACAATATTCCCTGAAAAAATCTCCCACATAATCATTCCAAAAGAATAAATATCCGATGCTTTGGTGAATGGCTTTCCCTGCAAAACTTCTGGTGCCATATACGGTAAAGCTCCATAAATTCCCTTAGATTCTGTATTTAATGTTTTATTAATTGCTGTTGCAAATCCTAAATCGCCAATATAAGCATTATGTAAGTCTTCTTGAAATACATTGCCACTATGTAAATCACAATGAATAATATCATTCGAATGAATTAATTGAAGATCAAATGCAATATACGATATCAATTCTAATTTTTTTTTCCATTTCATTTTTGCAACTTTGTTAAGATTCTTACGTAAAGATCCCATTGATGCATATTGCATAACCAAAATATAATCTCCTGTTTCTTCATCTTTTGATATTCCATGACATTGCAAAAATGTGGGATTTTTATTTCCAATATTCGAATATGCAATTAGCTATAAATTATAAATATTAATAACAATAGTATAATGACATTAAGTAAATAAAATAATTAAGTATTTACCTCTTTTATAAGTTCCTTGTAGCTATTTTTTGATCCATGAAGCAATTTAAGAGCAACAATACTATTTTGCACACCAATTTCATTGTGACGTGTCCACATAGCAAGATACACAGTTGAAAAACCGCCTTTTCCAATTTGGTTTCCATATTTTAATTCGCTGAATGGAATCCACGATATTAGTAAGTTATTTTCAAATAATAATTGTCTTATAGAATCATCGAAATTTTCATAATCAACCGTTTTTTGAATATTATAATTTTTTGCTTTTTGCAGCCATTCGTTAGCTTTTTTTTGATCGGGCGATGTTCCATAGCCATTTCGATAACATAACCCAAGTCTATATTGTCCACTATAAGAACCATTTTCAGCTGATTTCAAATACCATTCAAAAGCCTTCTTTTCATCCTTATTAGTTCCCGTTCCATTTTCATAACATAATCCAAGATTATATTATGCAGTGGAATAACCATTCTCAATAGATTTCAAATACCATTCAAATGCCTTTTTTTTATCCATGACTGTACCTCTGCCAAGTTGATAACATATTCCAATATTACATTGTCCACTCGAATTGCCACTTTCAGCAGATTTCAAATACCACTCAAATGCCTTCTTTTCATCCTTTTTTGTGCCTGTGCCATTTCTGTAGCAATTTCCAAGATTATTCTGTCCTTGAGAACTGCCACCTTCAGCAGATTTTAAATACCACTCAAATGCCTTTTTTCATCCTTATCTGTGCCTATGCCATTTCTGTAGCAGAATCCAAGATTACATTGCCCATCGGAATCGCAACCTTCAGCTGATTTCAAATACCATTCAAATGCTTTCTTTTCATCTTTATTAGTACCCTGTCCATTCGCATAGCTAATTCCAATATTATATTGTGCTATAGAATTACCATCTTCAGCAGATTTCAAATAAAATTCAAATTGAATTACTTCATCCATCATGATATCTGAAATTAAAAGTAATAAATATCTATTGAAGCTCAGTATGAAGAGTTTATAGACAATTCAGAGTTAAGATATTTCGAAAATAAGAGGGTGTTAAAAAATGCTATTTCTATTTTGAAATCCCGAAATCCAAAAAAGAAGTATTCTCATCTATAAAAAATAAAGAGAGCTTAGCTCAAAACAAATACGGCACTAATTTTATTCCAAATCAGAAATCCGATCATTAATTCGGAATCACCCTATTTTTTTACATTTAGGTTGGTCTTTTCAATGAAATTCGGGAATACTGATAATTAATACTTCACCAACGATTAGTAGGTTAGTATAATTTCCAACAGAATTTATAGTAATGGAAGTAATATTTTTTATTAATTTAGTTTCCGTTCAGTTGATGAAATTATTTGCTACAAATATAAATACATTAATTAAAATTTAATTGAAAGGTTCTTATGTCTCCAAGAATTTCAAACTCGTAAAAATTCAAATAAAAAATTGAACATCAAGTTCAATAATTTTATTTTTTACAACAATTATATAATGCTGTAATGCTGCATTTTCCATACGTATTATAAATGCACACTTAACATTCTGTCATCCTTGTCTCTTTTTAAAGCAATAAATATAGGCACATTACTGTATTATAAATATTGACCTTGATAAAACTTTTTACGTTAATCCTAACAAACGTAATGAAGTTATCACTCGCGCTAAATAATATACTCAAAAAGGTTTAGTAAAGTTGTTTAATATCAGCTTGGTCATTTTATACGATGTTATACAGTAAGCATTATACTTACAATGTTTAATAATTTGACAGCATTCAAATCAATACCTTAAATTAAGCAAAGTTCATAAATGACAAAACTTAGATATCCATATTAGTGATGCCGACTATAACTTGATAAAAATATAAACCATCCACGTAATAGGTTAATATTATTTATATTTTTGAGGCTTAGATTAAAACGTGAAACCCATCAATATATAAACTGATAAAAGTTATACTTGCGGTAAAACAATGAAATAAAGCTGAAAATTTATTTGAGCATATTTTACAATGAAATAAAAAACTGAACAGTTTATTTACAATGAATAAGAATTTGAATTATTATTTCGATTACAATTTTATCTTGCCAGTATTTTTTAAATGTCTTCTGGTTAATTAAAACATTCATTTGCTAAATGTAATTCCATTACCGTTGGTATTCCTCTTTGCATCGGACAGAATAGCATTCTCCAATTTTTCATCAAATAGATTTATTAGTTGAAGCTGAACAATCGCTAATAGCATTCAAATTATTATTCGACATATTGGGGGTTTCAGAATTTATGATTCGACGTCCGATTTCAGATAAAATAAGTGATGTATTTATTTTAAAAGAAGCGATGTGCAAATTCTGTTTTTTTTTTTTAAAGTACGTACTTATTTACATAATTGCCAATACATTACGGCTTGACTTCCTTTCGATTTTATTTATTTATTTATTTATTATTATTATTATTTTTATTATTTTTTTAAAAAAAATTGAAAAATCTGTGCAAATATGTACGTACTATAAAAATTTTCCCGATGCACTAATACTTCGTAATATATTAGTAAATATAAATATAATAATCAGGTATTACGTACAAAAGTAAACCTTAAATTATAACTTATAAATAAATTATAAGCTGCTTAATAAATTTTGATAAAAAGTTGACTAGCTCTAAGCTAATAAAATATAAATTTAGATTTATAAAAGGTAATAATCTAGCTATAATCCAGTCTATTAATTAAAATTACTTAGTATTATAATAGTAAATATAATATATATATATAGTCCTCTAAGTGCACGGATTATGTAAACTCTCTAAATGCACGGTATAGCCCAGTCCCAGCTTATAAGAACTCTATATATTTTGCTCTCTATAAATGCACACCCTCTCTAAGTGCACACTTTTCAATTTTTTTCCTATGGTCCCGAAGGGGTGCACTTAGAGAGGTTTGACTGTAGTAAGATTTAATTAATAAAGCATTATAGTTGAAACCAATTTAAAACAAAAAATAAGTAAAAAAAATTAGAGCATGCAAAGTTTTAATTAAATTTGGTAAAAAGATATATAGATTAATATAAGATACTACCTAAAATACATAGTTATTTTTATATCATATTACAACTTACATATAAAAACCAATATCTGAAATGAGCGTTGTCACTTGATCATTTGGCCAGCCGTTGGCCAACAGCCAAATTTTTAAGAAAAATTATTTGGCCGGAATTGCAAATATTATATAGCTAAAAGTTTGATCATTGACCAGTTGGTCAGCCAAAAGACCATTTGGCCGCAAAAATATGCAAGAATGTATCTAATATACAATGTTTATATATTTACTAGAGTTCATTTGCTACTAAGTACAGCGAAACCTCCCTAAGTGCACACCCTCTTTAAGTGCACGCTATAGCCCGGTCCCAAGCTTGGGACTTAATGCTAAGTGCACCCTCCAACCTTTGCATGTTTACAGCCCGGACCTATACGCGCACCCTCTACGTACACGTGACCAACATAATCGTTCTACCAATCGGAATGGTAGTTTTGTCGAATATTCTCGGAGAGGTAGATAATAAATAAACATAAAAGACGAGTATGGTTATCGGAAAGACCCGGAATACTGTTAATTGTTGTAAAAATACTAATCTATAAATACACACCCTCCCTAAGTGCTGGTCCCAAGGGCGTGCACTTAGAGAGGTTTCACTGTATATTAGTGTATAAGAATAATTTTCTTTTAATATAACTAATTTAATCCTCAAAAAGAATCAATGTTAATTTAGTATTTTTGCAAAAATCTACGTATGTAAAATCAAGATTATTGTAAGAAAGATCCAGTAAAG